CCCGGCGCCCGTCGAGCACCCCCGCGCGCGCGGCGATCGAGGCGCCCGTGCAGATGCTGACGAGGTACCGCAGCTTCGGGTACGTGGCGCGCACGTAGGCGATGGTGGAGTTGAGGTTGGGCGAGCGCGTCCAGAGGCCGCCTGGGATCATGAGCACCTCGATGTCGGTCGGGGCGGTGGCGAAGGTGTGCGTTGGGAGGATTTTGGGGAACTGTGTGTGTTTTGAGGTGGTAAGTAAGCAACGTCTTACAATTCCGCTACATCGAGTTTGGGCCTCGGAGGACGAGGTTCCGCTTGAGCGGGGTGAATGATTTCCGGCCAAGAAGGACAGCAAGACTTACGAAACTCGAGTTTTTGGCGTTCATGGCCGCGGAGACCGGTTCGACTGTCACCGGGTCCATCGTCTCGGCGATGAGGTAGAGGTTGAGCTGGTGGATTCTCGCGAGCATGCCAAGGGCGTCCAGGGGTCCGAATACGTCTAGCATCTCAAAAGCGCGGGAGATGATCATGCCAAAGTTTCGTGGAAGCGACGTCGGTGGGGGAGATGCCGGGGCGGTCGTCGTTGGACGCGGGATGCCTTTTTCTTGTCAGTTTCGCCGTGAGGAGGGACGGCCGCAATGTGAGGACTTACATGCTTGCACTGAGCTTTCATCTTGAGCCAGCGTCATTGTTGCGAGACATGTCAGCAACAAGCTCGAAAAAGAAGCATGTAGACGCATCTTGAAGCACACTCGAGTCCGTGGATATCAGAGTTGACGCAATATGTCTGGCAGGACATTTGGGAGCAGCTGACTTCTTATTCCGACACTTCCCACGCGTCGAGACCCAGAGCTATCCTTGCTGCCATTGTTCAATGTAGGACGAGTGACATCCCTTACATGCGCAAGTAAACAGCTCAATGAATCCTTCGAGCGACAACAATATATTTTGCGGGGTGGAAACGGATGCTGCGTTACATCCGATTGGAGAATATTCGACGATGGTGGACTTGAGTTGGTTCCGTGCGTTTTGGTTGTTTGCTGTGGAAATTGACAGTCTTGGCGCGCCCATATGAGCAAGTTTTCAATCGCGAGAGCCTGATTGCCATTTTGGGAAATGGAACTTGCTCAACCGAACCACCGGGATCTAGGCGCATGTACAGTGACATGTCCAGCGATAACGGTCAGACTGGGAAACGACAGGGAAGATGGATGAGCAGAAAAGTTTTAGTAAAATTATCTAATTGGTCATTAAGATTTAAAGAGTGTTTAGAAACGCCTGATATGTTGTCCTCCCATAATCCAACGCTACGCTTGTTGATGCAGTCAGAAAAGCATGTAAGCAGTCTAAGCAAACGTCTCCACAAAGCGGTGATAAAAGAAAGCTCCAATCCAACCGAGAATGGGAAGCGCCGCCAGCCTTCGGGTCCAGTCGAAGCTTTTTTGGCCATTGGCGGGCTTCAATGACATTCTTCGTGTGATGCCAAAAGGCTTTTCGGGAGCGGCGACCAACGCTTCCTTCTTTTCTTCCTTCTCGGCCACTATCGTCTTGCTTGTCGGGCGCAAGACGAAAGATGCACCGCCGACATTGGAGATACCTCCAGTCATTGCACCCATTTCCATGGCCTTTTTTGGAATGCTTGCCTTGGTAACAAGGAGATAAGGGCTACCCTCAATCTCTACCACACAGTTGTGCCAGGGAGTAGGAATGTGAAGAAGATCACGAGAGGTCATTGGAACCCCGTCGGGCGACAGACCCTCCACAACTCTGACAACTGCAGGGTCGAAGAGCTGAATGCCAAACTTGGGTCCAGCATTGTTGTGACTAAGGACAGGTTAGTTGCAAGAACAGCGTTGTAAGATGAAGGACACTTACGCATGAATAGAAAGGCGAACATAGTTGGGGAAAAGAAGTTCCACGAGGTTGGAATATGCCTGATTGCGCTGCAACTAAGCGTTAGCTTGTGTCCATGTTGGGGAACCTAAAGCCGTAGAGCAGCCTGTGATTGGACGAGTCTCAGGTTACCATAATCATCTCGAACGCCACCTTTGTAGACAGCTTTTTTTGTTGCGTCCGGGTTATCTTCTGAGTGAAGGGATGAAGCTCAAGGTCTTCCAACATGAAGCGGGAAAATCCACGATACAGCGCCAGAATGGCTGTATTCTGGGACTTGATCTTGGCTCGCACTGCTGATTCCTGGGGCTGGCAGCCAGCCATCAAGATCTGTCGCGAAAGCTCTGCTTCGACCGTGTGGCCAGTATGAACATGGTGAGCAATCGAAGGAATTCCAATCTTGGCAGCAAGCTCCGAGAGCTTGGTTTGAGTCTTGGTTTCGTTCAACTCAAAGAGATCAACAAGCGACTTGAAACCAACGCGGCTGGTGTTTCCTCGACGAAGACCGACGGCGTGGTTCATTTCCTTCAGCTGCTCGCCATAAGTGTCGACATCGGCATCATCAACGCCAACTGATAATTGTTAGACTAGGTCGATATCGAGACAAAACAGGGAGCTTACTGCAATCGCTGAAGACGTGACCGTCACTGATAATCCACAACTTGGCACCGGGCTGATAAATGCTCTCAATCTCCTCAACAAAGCTATGAAGACGCTCCAAGGCTAGCTGCTCCCCTCTGTCGGGAGCCTGGCCGAGGACCTTGTTGGTGTTTGAGGATTTGCAAGGAAAGGCAGGAAGGCAGAGCTCGATGGGGGCCCGCTGCGAGGTGAAGTGCTGAACACGGTCTGAGAAGTAGGCGCGCCCGGTAGCCTCCCACTGATCGTCTTTGCCTTGATACCTCAAGAAACTGTCGAAGAGGTTGACAACCTTTTCTGTGATGGATACGGAGTCATCTTGAGGAGAGATGATGAGCTCTGGGTCGCGAATAGCAAAGTCAGCTTGGTCGAGGAGTAGTTGAGCAAAGAACTCCTCGAACTGTGTGCTGAGTGTGGATTGCTGGGATGAGCTGTCGATGATGATCCCGGACGTGTTGTTGAACTTGGCGTTGTGCATCTCATACAACCTCAGGCCCTCAAAAGTGCCACTGAGATCTGCAGATCCAAATTGTGCCTCGCCTGTTGCCGTCCGGCTCGGAAGGCAGTGCTCGATCGCGGCCCAATGCTCTTGTACCCTGGCCTTTTGCGGCCCGCTGCAGTACAGCAGCTGTCCCTGTCCATCGTGGACGAAGGCGGCCTGGAAGCGGTGAAAGATTGAATTTCCATCATTTGAGAACTCCATTGTGGTAAGGCAACGAGAGCAGATGGATCGTCTGAAGGTATTATAGAGTGATGAATTAGGTATTAAGGTTTGATGAGTGGGCGATGAGTGATGTGGATATGAGACGAGGGAAGCTGGAGATATCGGACTGTTATAGACTTGAAGATGATAGCGAGGATTCGACCACGCTGGATGCCTTCTTTTCTGTTTGTGTGTTCTGATAGGACGGAACGCGGCCCGGGTGGCACGATGTCGGTGGTGTTTTCCTCAGCTCCAGAACTTTTGATCGGGCTGTGAAATCAAGATGATGTTGGAGAGGGTGTGCCGCAGGCTAACATCAGCAGAATGGATTCGAAAATATCCTACAAAGGTCGAAGGAACCGATGATGCCCGAAGAAATGGGCTTCTTCAGCAGAGAAGTGCAGCTCAAAGCCTCGAAGTCAGTCCACACGCAGGAAAATATGGGATGACCGAGCGTTCTGAGTCGAGGCCTTGCCAAAATTGGAAAGCGAGCGAGGAGGCTTGCCGCCTGCGTAGTACATGCACGGCAGCAGGGCTCGGTCTTGGGAGGCGGGACTAACATGGTGCTTGCAGAATTGAGCCCCAGCAATCGAGAGTAGAAGGAGCATTTCGCCATGGAAGGACCCTCATCGACCACCGCAGACACCGGTGGTAGGCAGGTGCAGCGCCAGGGTCACACAACTCCATCGCACTGGTACAGGTACAGGTACAGGTACGGGCTTGGGCTGTACAGGCAGCATCGTGACCGGCCCCCAAACGCTCGCCCTGGTGAGAAGCCATCGCACTTGCAACGACAGCGAGGCGGGTGGAAATGCTGCGATTGGCTCGTTGGTGTGGGCAGGCTCGGCGTGGTCGACATTCCAGGACCAAAGACGGGGACAGGGACTGTTCCAGCAGTTCTTGGCAAACCTACGAATAGAACAAAGTTCTTCCTCTGCGAAGCGTGTAAGATTCCATCTTCAAGCATTGATAATTGCGCCATTAAGATCAACTGCAAGCAAAGCCCCCACTACCTTAAATGCAGGCATTTTTACCCTTGCGCTAAGCTGACAAGCGCCTAGACCAGCTGCTTGCGAGCCAGCCTTCGGTACGAAGTTTCTCTTCTGGACAAGCCCGTCAAGAGTCTTGACCGGGATGCTCCGTCGGTGGTCCGGCCCTGCCAACAGAGCCATCCAAGCGCTTTTCTCCCACAGCCCTTCTTGACCGAGCGTGCAGGCAAAGGCAAGTAAGCACTTTCTTATTTTGACTTTACGAGATTCAGCAGGACGCCGCAGCATCAGCACCAACAAATGGCGCGGTTTACTTGGCGCGTTGCTGCGTCCGACTGAACTGCGACCAGCAGAGTTACATAGCCCGTCCTGTTGTGCGAGTTGTCGTATCTGTACATCTGGGCAACTCTGATTGGCCGATACCCGCTTAATCGGATCCTTGGAAGGATCCAGTTCCCCAACCACATATCAAGATGCCTGTCGATTAATTTAGAAGCTTAATCCTAGTCCCCGTCGTCTGTGGGGTTCGGACGAGCCTCTAGTCAGTTTAGTCAAGGTACCGCTACTCAACAGCACTGACACTGTCACAGAATTATTTCCGCGAGAAAGGAAGCTCTCTGGGGAACACGAAGTCTAAATTATTCTACTCATTTAAACAAATCTATGCTGAAACCGACCGTTGCAAATCGCCCATCATCACGTTTACTGATTCACGCTTTTTCCACGCTTTTTTCGTCTTCTCTCGCTCTCTCCGTAAACACGAGCTTCAGAGCTCTGGGGTACAATGGTCCTGCCTGCAATTACTCGTCAGCGATGCCCTTGTAAACTTGCTCAACCGCATGCGTAGATAAGCGGAACCCAAATCACCAACCGCATGGGGGCGGGGATCGGGACCGAGCAATCAAGCGATCGAGGAGGAGGGCTCAGGGAACTGGACTTACGGGTGTCATTCTTTCCACCCACATCGGGTCCAAACACCAGCGGAACTCGCGGATAAGTTGCACAAGAGTCATCCGCATCTCTAGCATGGCAAACTTTTCGCCAAGACATGCGCGTTTCCCGCCATGGAACGAGATGAATTCGCCCCTCGCCCGTCGCCGACGGTAATTCTGGTGGATCTCTTCCGAGGCCGTTCCCCACCGCGCAGGACTGAACTTCTCGCAATCCGGCCCCCATGCCACGGGGTCGCAGTTCGTTGACCGACAGTGGTAGCCAAGATATGTTCCTGTTTTGTGGTCAGATTTTCTGCTCCAGGCTGCCGAGGAGAACTTGGATGCATACCCTCAGGAACAACCAACTCGCTACCTAGCAGGCATGAAGCTGCGGCTCTGCGGTTGATGAGCTGACCGATTGGTGGAAAAAGGCGAAGGCATTCGTAAATGACTGAGGTGAGGTAAGGCATGTCTTCTTGGCTCAGATCTGATAATGGAGTCGCATCCTTGGAAAGGATTTCGCGTAGCAACGCCTCTTGCGCCTCCTGCAATGCCGGTCAGTAATCTGAGTCAGATCGCGTGCTTTTGGGGGCGAGATGCGGCGCCCACTAGGACAATACTGACAGGGTGTTTGGCCAACACGTAGAGTGTTGAAGTCATCAACAGCTGAGGATTCTCTTGACCAGCCACGAACGTCACCGTCAAGTTATCGAGAAGCTGTTTCTCGTTCCACATGCCAGACTCCCATGCACGTAGCATTCGGCTGCCTAGACCGTCCCCTGTCGGTTTCTGGTGGGCCAGAGAACCTTTGAGCTCGTTCTTGAACTTGGCAACAACCTGACGGGCCTTGGCGCGACTGGGAAACAGCCATTGGAGATTCGGATGATCCAGAATCGGAAAGTTCATGAAAACAGGCTTGAAGATTTCTCTCTTCACCGCCGTCTGGAGGAGATTGATGGGTGCGTCTGGGGAATCAAGGGCCTACATGGAAGACTGCGGTCAGCGATATCCCTGCAACATCAGACTTTGAACTAGAGCCAATCAAACCTACACCGAGATTGGTCTGCAAGATGGCTTCCGAGCAATTCGCGACCGAGTAGCGCTGGAGGAGATCCTGCACAGCGAAGCCCCCACGGCCGGCCCGCTTTTGGGAATCGCGAAGGAGATGGCACAGGCTGACTGCGTTCTTGGCGATGATGCCTACTTCGAAATTTCGTTGCAAAGCGGGCTTGATGACTGATTGGTAATTCTTCCACGTCTCTCCATGGGCAGAAATGATATTGTCGCCTGATTGTAGTGAGCATACGTGTGCGCGACGACGTGGCCTGGTGGAATGCTTACCCAAAAAGTCTGCAAGCACGCTGTGAGGAATTTTCTTCTGGTTGCCGCTTTTTTGATACAAATCTTCGTTCTTGAAAATCTCAGTCAGATAAGACGGACGATGAACCAAAATGTTCCACTGAGCGCCAAAGAAGAGCTTGACCGCGCCGTGAGTCCGTAGCGGCTTGTCGATGTATGTCCGAAATATGTCGGACTGGTCGACATCTTTGAAAAACGGGATAAGCGCAACCCAAAAAGGGATGGCGGGAATGTTCTGAGGGTATTTTGGAGGTAGGAGAAAGAAGTAGTAGAAGCCTCCGAGGACCACAGCCCCGAGGAACAGCAATTCCGCAAGAAAGAAAATCATGATGTCTGGCTTGACGTCTGTATAGTAGTTCGTAAGTCAGCAGTCGGAGACGCGAAGCTAATAAGTTTATAAGTCGGGTCCGAGCGGAGACCCTGGGGAACAAAAGAAAGTAGTAGAGATGATAAACTCACGGACTTGGATGAGACCGTCTTCGCCGAAACGAGTGCCTATCTTTTCTTCTTCTCAGCCCTACCAACCATGAACAACTCAGCAGCAGCCTACGCTTAGGGCTGACGTTTGGGTGAGCAAAGGCCCAGAAACAGAAATGGACACAGACGAGTGGCTTTGCTGTCTCCTCAAAATAGGCTGCAGATGGTTGGCTGGTGTTTTTGGGCGTGCTTGCGAGCATAGTTGCACATCAAAGACGCCGTGTAAGTTGGAAGGCCCAACGCACATAAGTCTCTCAGGGGCTGTGCGACGGTCTGCAGGACAGCAGGCAGGCGACCGATAGGCCTCTTGGCGAATTTGAGCGGCAACAGCAAGGGCCCGGTCGCCGTCGGGCACTTTTCGCTGGAATGAGGCTTCCATGGACTTTCCCAAGGAGGTTTGGCTTAAGGTAGGTTGTGGTTGGGATGATGGAAAGCACAGGCACAGGCACAGGCACTGACTGACACAGGCACGGGCGTTGGTGCGGTATTGCAGATACGGCCTGCAATGTACCGGTACTTTGGGCGGAGCCTCTCCACGCACCTGCACACTGCCGCACTCCTTCGGCGGCTGATTGGCAGTGGGAAGGATTTCGTCCAGGGTTTGTGGTTGCATCTGACGATCTGCGCGCACCATGCCAATTACAAGTTCTTGGGCCGGCGAGAGCGATCTCCTTCATATGAAGTCAATTCACCGCTGTAATTACCCCCGCTGGGAAACATGATCATTCAGCATCACTTCATTTCACCCTCTTTCCACATCGCTTTTCAGACTTGGCGGAACTTTAGGATTTCTTCTTGATTTAGCCATCATCTTTTCCCAGTTATTGATTCTCTGATTGTTATTGTTGTTCCTTCCCCTCTGAACGCACAACATGGCAGACCCCAGCCCAACAAGTTCTGGGGCCACAACCCCCATCAAGCCATCTCCTGCCTCGCAAGACTTACCCACTGCTGATCTTGCACCATCACCACCTTCTCAACCACAACCACAACCTCAAGCTCAAGCCGCAGTAGACCCTGAGAAGAAGGCCGATGCACCTCCGGCGTACACGGCCTTTTCTCCATGGCGCAAACGCTTCATCTTGACCGTGGTCACCATCGCAGGTTGCTTTGGTCCCCTCGCAGGCAACATCTATCTGCCAGCGTTGCCTGTGTTGGAGAATGAATTCAATGCCAGCGCAACAGCCATCAACGTGTCCGTGTCAGTCTTCATGCTGACGTTTGCCATCGGTGTAAGTGCTCCAATCTTTCATGACATACCTCAGTAGGCTAACCAGATCAGCCCCTCTTCTGGTCGAGTTTTGCCGACTGGAAGGGTCGCAGGCCATTGTACATCATCTCCGTCGCCATCTACATTGTTGCCAATATTTTGCTTGCTGTAGTGCCGGCGAACTATGGAGCTTTGGTGTTCTTGCGCATTGTCCAGGCTTTTGGATCCGCCGCTGTGGTGTCGATGGGTGCTGGAACAGTTGCAGACGTTAGTACCTCATTTTCACTTTCGTTCTATCCTCATGATTCTGACTGATTGCGCAGGTCACTGAACCAAAGAAACGTGCGACAGCTATGTCCATCTTTCTGATCGGTCCTCAACTGGGCCCCGTTTTGGGTCCTGTGCTTGGAGGTGCCCTCACTACCGCCTCTTGGCGCTGGATCTTTGGCTTCCTCGGTGAGTACAGCCAAGCTTGACTGCGGGCAAACGTAAACTAATAATGTTGTTCACAGCAATCTCGGGCTTTGTCCTCTGGCTCGTCATTGTTTTCTCACTCCCCGAGACTCTCAGGGCGAGGGTGGGAAACGGAAAGCTGTATACCGAGTCCCGTGTTATCTTCTTTCCTCCGAGATTGTCCTCGCCTCTGGCCCCTGAGTCAGAGAGGGGCCCCGCACCGCCCAAGCCAACTCTTCTCGGATACTGGAAGCTATTCTCCTACCCTCCCATTGGCATTGTCACATTCAACACAGCCATGCTGTACTCGACATATTTCGCCATTGCCGTGCAGCTCCCCACCGAGCTTTCAGACCGTTACAACTGGTCCACCGCTGGCGTCGGCGCAGGTTTCCTGGCTGTCGGTGTCGCCATGATTGTTGGCTCTATGATCGGTGGTCGCGTGTCAGACTGGAGACGTGCGCGTGCCGTCAAGGCATCCCCGGACAATCACGTCGACCCCGAAAACAGGTTGTCAGACCAGATCTGGGGCGTCTTGATCTGTGCCGGTGGATGTTTGATGTACGGCTGGCTTGTCGACAAGTCAATTCATCCTGCCGCTGTCCTTGTCGCAACATTCCTGAGTAAGTAACCCCTTGAGCGCTCTCAAAGTTTGCTCGATGATCTCGGGGCTGACGTTGTGCGACTACAGCTGGCTTCGGCATGAATTGGGTGTTTGTGGCCACAACAGCCTTTTTGACCGAGTGTGTCCAACAACAGGCCGCCGGCGCCTTCGCTCTCGGAAACATGCTCCGCAATCCCGGTGCTGCCATTGCAGCCCTCGTGATCCCATCTCTTGTTTCAAAGATGGGCAGCGGATGGTGTTTCACTGGTTTGGCGCTTCTTGACCTTTTGCTTGTTGGTTCAGCAGTAATTAGTGAGTCTTGTTGCATAAACGAAGTATTTAACACAACTTACTGACAAACTGTAGTCCTGCGGCTTAAGTCTCCAGGATGGAGAGCAGCACGAAAGGCCAGGATGGCTGCTATGGCAGCAGCTAAGCAGGGTGGTTCTAAATAATATCTAATGACGATTTACGACGGAAATCTTATGAAATGGATGAACAGCACAGCACAGATAGACTTGGGGTTTTGAGGTACCAGTCATCAAGACTCAATTTGTAGTATTTAATACAACAGCAAAGCGTCTCTATATGTCAATCGATATGTGCTTATTGACCATTTTGGCGATTAAATTTCATATCAAAGTCTTGAACTCATGGAGAATTTTTTTTAGTGCAGTTTCGCTTAATATTGACTCAGTCACTTTCTACACGCATCTATGATGTTTTTTAATATCGCTTGCCAAGTAGTTGCTTCTTCAAAAATAAAGCAGAGAAGGAGTTCACTTGAGCGACGTCATAGCGCCAGCCAATTCATTGGTTCAAATACGTGTTTATTCCTCTCTAAGCCTGTTTTGTAACTAGACGGATTGTAGAACAGTTCTGGGTTCGAGAGAAAAAGAAAGGAATGCAAGTTTCGTTTATATAATTTTAGTTCGTAACATGCAGCTGTTGTGAAGTTAGCGATCATTTGGAAGGCGCGAAGTTACGTGAGATATAACTAAGAACTTTTGAAATTACAATACTCGCAACACAATGGTCCGTGGAAAGATCACACTACAGCGAAGGATGTACATATAACAGAGAGCCCTAGTCAGAGTAACAAGAGGATTTTAAAATACGTTTTATAGAAAGATCTGCCCTATGATATTGGGTTTATGTTCGTTGAATCATTGTACGTATGGACAGAGTTGATAGTAACCCTCTGGGGGTATGACTACAGCTTGATGTGGCACTTGGAGACGAGAGGTTCTTGAAAGCAAGGATAAAGTCAAACCACATGCTCTGTTCATACTCGTGTGTTTCCGTGCATTGTACGTATGTACTAATTGTAAGTTGACGAGCTAAGTACAACGGACCGGCCGTAGGCCTGAGTACATGAGATTTTGACAATCAGCAAATGTTGCGAAGTCCGTTGTACAGGTTGGAGGACTTTCGTGCACATTTAGGATGCAGTTGTCAACCGTAAGCCATGAGACGATTGTTGAAGCCATTCTTGACGTCGAGTTGACTCAGGAGACGGCTGATGTCGGGCTGCTAGTTATCTGGGCCTCGAAAAGTCAGTGAATCATACAACTCAGCCGTAGGCTTCTCGAGAGAATCCAACCAACCATGCCATCACATGACATATTTGGGATGAATCTTATCAATTACTAGACTTACACTCACCTCCAGACTCGTACAAACTGAATTACACCGTTATCCAAACTCGCCTCAACCCCCGAAGTCACCTGACCCAAAATACTTGACTGCTCACATTCCAAGTCTCAGACAAACGACCCGACGTTACACACGACATAACCGCCTACGCACCCCGGCCGCCCAGACATTGACCTCCCAAAGAACCACCGAGAAGCGCGCCGGTGGACAGCAGAAAGGTCAGCAGACCGACGCCAGACCGAAACCCAACCAACCAACCAAACCCAGCACCCAGCCTGCCGTCGATACCATCCAAGATTACGACCCTGCAAGAAGACATACCGAACATGAAGCAAGCTAGTCTCAGTTGAACGCACGAAAACACGGTTTCTAAATCCGTCCCCATCTGTCTCCCAGTCCCACATTTTCTCCCATCGCACGACATTAGCCACCCCCGGGCCCCAGGAACGGCTTCGCTCTTGTCTTCACCAAACCTGCAAGACACACTCACGCGAGAGAGGGGAAAAGGAAAAAAGCAAAGAAAGGAGGCCCTGCAGCCTCGACAAAATGCCCATATCGAGCAATCCTTACGAGAAATGTCCTGCCATGTATGTGGGGGTCACACAGATACGTGCGTATCCCGACCCAAATCTGGTCTTCTAGAACGTCGTCCCGCGTCTCTTTCGTTCGTTCGTTCCTCCCACGGGCGGGGTGGCGGCGGTGCAGGTGACGGTGGTGGTAATCACTGGCATCGCGGCTCGCTGACTGGGCGAAGCTGCAGATGGGACCCTCCTTTGGCCGTATTTGCTTTTTCCTGCAGCCCCGGCGGAAGGACGGAAGATGCGCGGTGCATGACAACAGCGCAAAAAAAAGGTGCATGTCCAATCTGCGCAATTCACCAATGGGCGCCTGCAAGCTTCTTCTCGTTCAATCGGTTCGCGTATGCAAG